GTTAATAGCCTCTCTAGCTACAGGCTTTTGACCACGTTTACAGTACCCAGTATTAATCTTCTCCAGTAGAACATGTAACTGGAGCTTTTTCCCCACCCACCAGTTCCCAAATAACCACTCTGAGGCTTGATATTAATTACAAACTGTTTGACTCAGTCTTATTAACTAGCTCTTACAGTTTAAATTAACCTATTTCTATTAGTCTACATTTTATCACGAGGCTCGTGGCTTGTTACAGCTTGCTTTCCCAGCAGCTGCTAGCATCTCCCCAACTCTGCCTTCTTTCTCCCTGTTCCTGTTTGGATTTCCCACCTAGCTATACTCTGCCCTGCCATAGACCAAAGCAACTTCTTTATTAACAAGTAGTAATAAAATGTATTCACAGCATACAGAGGGAATCCCACATCAAATACAGGCCTCAAATCCATTTTTTAGAAAAGATGATTACCCTAAACAGTCTTGCCTGGTAGGTTGATAGTGTGGCACAGACTATTCACAGTGAAGTAACACTGTTTTAATCTGTTTGTTTATTTTTTATTGTTTTTGTTTTTCAAGACAGGGTTTCTCTGTAGCTTTTGGAACCTGTCCTGGAACTCGCTCTGTAGACCAGGCTGGCCTCAAACTTACAGAGATCCACCTGCCTCTGCCTCCCGAGTGTTGGGATTAAAGGTGTGCGCCCAGCTGAAGTAACACTGTTAATAACTACTCTTCCCCAGCAGCTTATCCAGACCGTGACAGCATTTATAAAGGAAAGCATTTAACTGGGTTCAGAGGTTTAGTCCATTATCATTGTGGGAAGCAGGGCAGAATGCAGGCAGACATGATGCTGGAGCAGGAGCAGAGAGTTCTACATCTGGATTGGCAGGCAGCAGGAGACTGACACACTCACTGATCAGGCTTGACCATTTAGGACCTCAAAGCCTGCTCCCAGTGACACACTTCCTACAACAAGGCCACACGTCCTTGTAGTGCCCCTGTGGGCCTACTGGGACCGTTTTTATTCAAACCACTATAGTGTGCTCAACTAAACTCAATTCACTACTTAGTTGAGGAAAACCTTAAACTTCTGCTACTCTTGATTTCACATTCTGAGTGATGGGACTAAAGATACATACTACTAAATTTTGTTTTTGTAGTACTGAAGATTCAACCCAGGGCTCTGTTTTTTGTTTTGATTTGTTTTTCAAGACAGGGTTTCTGTCTGTAGCTTTTGTTATCCTGCAACTTGCTCCGTAGACCAGCCTGGCTTCAAATCAAGAAATCCTTCTGCCTCCACCTCCTAAATGCCCGGATTATAGGTGTTTGCCATAGGAGGCAGAATTTGAAATCAGTGTCTGCCTAACACCAAGTCTGTCTTGGGTGTGCTGACTACACCTCACCTCACCTTTACAGCCTGTAGTGGCAGCATCTACAGTCCAGAGTAGGTTTTAGTTAGACTGTAGGCAGACATCCCTTTTTTCATCTCCTTTCTCCCCCCAAAAGGGAGGAGGACTCTGCCACCTGCTACTGTTTTCAATTTGTTCATTGTTCTGCTCTGTCTTTAGAACCCCAGTTCTATTTTTTTTGTTTTGTTTTATAAGACAAGGTTTCTCTACATAACAATCCTAGATGTCCTGGAACTCAGTTCTGTTGACCAGGCTGGCCTTGAACATACAGAAATCTGCCTGTCTCTACCTCCTGAGTACTGGGAGTAAACAAATATGCCATCACCACCCAGCCTCTTCCCTCTCTTCCTAAATCTTTGTATAGTAAGGGATGACACTGGTCCCCTAATTCTCCTGCCTCTCCCTTCCAAGTACTGAAGTGACAAGCATGTACCACCACATCCAGATATATGAGACTTATACAGTTATTTGTTTGGTTTTTCGAGACAGGGTTTCTCTGTATCCTAGCTGTCCTGGAACTAGTTCCGCATAGATCAGGCTGGCCTTGAACTCCCAGAGTTCTGTCTTCCTCTGCCTCTCAAGTGCTGGGATTAAAGGCATGCGCTGCTGAAACCATCACCTGGCGAGACTTCTCTAGTTTAAAGGAGCCCTGAGAACTGTGCATACTGGCAAACACCTTTAAAACCATCACTTGGGAGGCAGAGGCAGGTGGACCACTATGATTTTGAGGATAGCCTGGTCTACAAAGAGAATTCCAGGACAGCAAGGACTACATAGGGAGAACCTGTCTTAAAAATATTAACTAAATAAGTGAGCCCTTAAAACCATCCAAATCCCATTCTAGTGCTGCCGCAGCAAAGGAATGGCTACTTAGTGCTGCTTCCGTCTTACATTTCTATAATCTATTCTTCACAAAGATTACAAACTGAAAAGTTAAATAAAGCTGGGTGTGCTGGTGCGTGCCGTAATCCCCTTTCATGTGAGGGTGGAACAGGAAAATTCCAGATCAATATAAACTCCATAGCAAGACTCAGGCTTCTTTAATCCCAGCATTTGAGAAATAGAGACACACAAATTTCTTGTGAGTTCAAGGCTTGCCTGGATTACATAGCAAGTTCCAGGACAGCCAGAGCTACATAGAGAGACCTTGAATCAAAAAGGCCAGCTTGTCTTGTAAGCATGAACATGGGTTCAAATCCCATAACCAACTGCAATGAATCTGGGGCTCACCACTCAGTCTGCCCAGCCTTCAAGGCCAATGAGAGACCCTGTCTCAGAAAACCAAGTGAATATCTTCCCCTCTGGCCCAGTGCATGCACACACAAATAAATGAAATAAAAAGAATAAATGAGATAAGAAGAAATACAGGTATAGGAAATCAGTTGGTAGAGTGTTTGCCTGACATAAAACCCCTAACTTCAATCTCGGCACAGCCTTTAATCCCAGCACAGGTGCAAAGACACTTGCTCATTAACAGAACACATGAAACATGGTCCCATTAGTGAGTGTGCCTCTGGCCTAGTGAATATGTAGCAGGGAACAAAAATCTGGACAAAGATATGTAGGCTGAGGACCTAAAAGTAAGAAGAATAATCTCCTGAGTAAATTGGGAGCATGGGGATCATGAGAAAGGGTAGAAGGGAAGGGGGGAGGAAGGGAAGGGACTAGATTTAAATATATAGCTCCATAAAACAATAAAAATATATAAAAGACTTAAAAAAGAATAATAATCAACAGGCTTATTCCTGATGAGAACGTTTCTGGTTCAGACTGCGGACAGGTTGGAAAGGATGAGTTTTTTGTTTGTTTTTTAAGATTTATTTATTATGTATACAACATTCTGCCTCTGTGTCTGCCTGCACGCCAGAAGAGGGCACCAGATCTCATTACAGATGGTTGTGAGCCACCATGTGGTTGCTGGGAATCGAACTCAGGACCTCTGGAAGAACAGCCATTGCTCTTAACCACTGAGCCATCCTCTCCAGCCCAGCCAGCACTTTTATAGCATTTTTTTAAAAATTATTTTTATGTGCAGTTGTGTTTTGCCTTCATATGTGTCTAATCTTGGAATTACAGAGAGTTGTGAGCTTCCATGTGGGTGCTGGGAACCAAACCTGGGTCCTCTGGGAGAGCAGGCAGTGTTCTTAACAGGGCAGGCTGGAGAGAAGGCTCAGAGGTAAAGAGCACTGGCTGCTCTTCCAGAGGTTGAGTTCAATTCCCAGCAACCACATGGTGGCTCACAACCATCTATGATGAAATCTGGTGCCCCCTTTTGATATGTGGTCAGAACACTGTATACATAATAAATAAATAAATAAATAAATAAATAAGAAGAACCCAAAATTTAAAAGACCTGGTACATAAAGATAATTGTTGAATGATGGATAAATATGTTCTCAATATCTTAATTAACTATGGATTTCTGCATCCCCATAGAAGGTTGGTTAACACATAATAAATCAATGACAGCTTTAACATGGGAGGTAGAACTTGGCAAACACACACATCCCGCAAGACTCTCACACATTTTCTTTGAGTTAAAGCTGTGGTGCTGTTTCTGGATTTATTGCTCTGCTCAGCGATGGCATCGGCATCACACTCCATTACCCTCCAGTAAATATCTCTTTCAAGAGGATATGTGACATTTCAGATGAACCTCTTTGTTGTCATGTTGTGGGGACCGGAATACAACAGCCTCCTGCTTTGGCCTCCCAAGTCCTAGGATTAACGGACAAATAAAAACAGAGAAAATTCAAGGTGATGTATTCCAGCCATGCCTCTGCTAGTGTAGGAGATAAAACCACGGAGGCCTGGACTACACATGGGAGCATGACATAAAGTCCATGTTGTTTCGCTCGATGGAAATGACGTGTACGATTATCAGAATGCCTCACCCAAATTCAAGTTCCGCCACTACAGATGAACTAGCTTAACTGTAGCACAAGCAGGAAAATTCGGATAGGAAATGGGGAGAAAGGGAGGACCATTTAGGACTGGATGGTTAGGAGAGGCAATATGGCATCTCCCAGGCTCCCAAGCGTTCTCCATCTCTTCCTCCTCGTGAGAAGGGGAAGAAGGCAGAGCTGCAGGATTAGGTCGGAGACAGAACACACGGGCCTCTTCTCTCCTCACGAAATCACTTCCCACACTGACTGGGAACTCAGCCGGGGCCCGGGCCCTGGCAAGCCGGGCCGCAGGCCTCCTGGACACGGCCACGACCAGGGGAAGACGCGTGTGGAGTTTCGGGTTTCCACAGAGCCGCCCACGCCCCTTCCATCGCAGCCTGGCGGGGGCAGCGCTGGGGCAACGGACCAGCTGTAGGTCCAGGCAAAAACGAGGTGAGCAGCCGCCGCCCCAGATGAAGGCGTGAGGCCAAGGGGCTTCCCTGAGGACGAGCGGCGTGAGAGCTCGCGGACATTCCCACCGGCCGCCTCCGCCTCCCGTCGCTCGGCCCCGCCCGGCCCCGCCTCAAGCTCCCAGAGCCGCCTCCCCAGCTGAGGGCCAGAGGAAGCCTCACCTGCGCCTTTAAGGGGCGTGACGACAGGCCCCGCCCCTCCTACCCGCGCGCGCCAATAAGGGGAGGGACGCGGGAGGAGGAGCCCAGTGTGCGGAGCGGGAGGGGAAATTGTGAGCCGACGCGCAGGCGCAGTGGCCCGGCGAGGCACAGTGTGTTTTCAAAATGGCGGCAGCGATGGATGTGGATACCCCCAGCGGCACCAACAGCGGCGCGGGCAAGAAGCGCTTTGAAGTGAAAAAGGTTGGCTCTCGCCAGTACCTTCCTCAGGGAAACTAGCGAGGCGCGGATATGGTTGGCAGGCCTGAGGACGAGCGAGGCGCGGGGGAAAGAGCTTCGGCTCAGGGCGGTCCTAGGGACCGGGTACCACGAAAGGAAGCTGGAGGGCGGGCCTTAGCATTGATCGGCGTGACGGCGGCCCACTAGCTGAGGCCATATTAGTTTCTCTGGGAAAGCTGAGGGGCCAATCGCGGAGCTGCTTACTGAAACACGCGGGCTCGACTTCCTTGCGGGAGCCAAGCGCTTGAGCTGTCACTAAAGTGACTGAGAGGTGGGGGAAGGACTGGGTGGGGTGGGTGGAATGGATACTCGCAGAGACTGCGGCGGGTGGAGGATGGGGCAGTGCGGAGAAAGCTGGGAACGAGCGATCGCACCGCACGGGAGCCTCTGAGAAGCCCCGCCGTGCCCTTGCCCCGCCCCTTCCTGGATCCCTGAGTCTTTTGACTCCCGGGAGACCTGGTTTGGGGCCTCGATTGTATGGAGGACTTCATTAGCCTCGGAAGGCCTAGTCTTCGTGTGTAAGACTTGGTTCTCCCGAGGTGTCTACTGCTTGTCACATAGCTTCTGCCAGTCCCATATACTTCTCTAATGCCCGGATGGATACCTTTCTATCAAAAATCAGTAACTAAAACGCTTGGTGGTCTTTCTTTTAAAAGCAAGCCCAGGAGGAAAGTGGGGTACTAGTTATTAATGACTTGAGAACGAACAGGAAAGTGGAAATGCGGGACGTCTTTTTACACGCTCTTCTCCTTCATGGTTTAGCAGTCTGGGAAAAAAGGTGTCGGTTCCTACCTAAAATTACATAAATCTGTTCAAAATGAGGATCTTGACGTTGGGCAGATGTAGTTTAGGAACGTGTCGCGGAGCACACTCTCCACCCCACCCCCTTCTTTGGGCGTCTCATTGCTGCTCTTTACAGCCAGCAGCCATGTTGAAGAAGAATCAAAAGAATCGGTTTTTCCTCCCACTCGATGTGGCATGTGGTAGTGTAGAAGTTACTGAACTTCTGAGAGCTGAATTTGAAAGAAGTGAGGGAAGTCACATCAGAGGAGCCCTTAAGAGGGGTATCTGGCAGGGTGTGTGTATCACTGCAGAAGCAGGTTGATCTATGTTTAGATTGACTAGAATTAATAGTTAATATTACTAGACTTAATAGTTTGGACATATAAAAGTTGAGAACATCGGAAAAGAAAATTGTAGTGGCTTTTACTTTGCCATGAAATTAATCTGGTTAGATTTAAGTGATGACCTTGTTCCGTGTTCTGACACTGAAGGTAACTAGCTGTCCAGCTTATCCCACGATTATCCTCTCTATGATCCAGTCATCTTAGTCATTGTCTTCACCTCCCTGCTCCTGTCCAAACTGCCTGAAGAGCAGGTGCTTCTGCAGATTTCGAGTCTGTCCTTCCACAGCTGCCAGGGAAAGCTGCTCGATAAGTTTGTACTTCATTAAATCTAAAGCAGGTGTTTTAAAAAGTGTTTCTAATTTGCTTACATTGGTTTGGCTAGCTAAATTATTTTACGCTATAGACAGAAAATTGAAGAATCCCATGTTCATATATTCCATATTTGGGTGAATGAGGAAGCATACATATAGTTTGCTGTTGTCCTCCGACGTAGTACAAATAGTATAATCTAAAAACATTCTTGGATAATCCCTATGGCCAAGGAGTTGGTAGCTGGAGCTGAAACCTGAAATCCTGATGAGTCTCATCCATTACAATGAAAATGCATTATTTCCCCTCTTTTCTCTTCTCAGTGGAATGCGGTAGCCCTCTGGGCCTGGGATATTGTAGTTGATAACTGTGCCATCTGCAGGAACCACATTATGGATCTTTGTAAGTAACTCAGGGAGGATGGGAAGAAGTTGGAAGGTTACAGAAATGGTGATCATCCTGGTGTGACTGATTTTTTTTTTTTCTTCACGAGTGGAGCAGGATCAGAACCCTTGGGTACTTGTGCATCTCATCCATTGGTGTGTTTGAAATGGATTGTTTTGGTTTGGTTTTTGAGATACGGTTTTTATGTGTAGCCCTGGCTGTACTAGAACTCACTGTTAAGTTAAATAGTTAAAACTAATTTGCCCAAAGTTCCTATCAGCCATCTCAAATAAGTGATGTCTTGGAGGCAAACTCAGCCCTCAGAATAGTCATTGTAAAGCCAACAAGTTCCTATTCAGAATGAGTTGTAGGAAGAGTTGACATTTCTTCCCATCTTGTACAGACACCAAGACAAAAATAGTGAAAGAAAACGACCTTTGAAAGTAGGTACCTAAGTGTATCCCTGTGATCCCAGCGTTTGGGAGGCAATGGCAAGAGTATTGGGCCAGTCAGGGCTAGTTTGAGCTAGTTTTAATCTGATCTAGGTTTTGTTGGGTAAGATTTACAGTCACAGGCTGGAGGGATGGTTCAGCTGTTAAGAGCACTGGCTGCTTTTCCAAAGGACCCAGGTTTAATTACCAGCAATCACACGGAGACTTACCATGTTCCGTAGCTTCAGTTCCAGGAAATTCAATGCCCTCTTCCGGCCCTGAAGGGTACAAGACATATTCTAGTACAGGCATAACATGCATACATATTAAATAAATAAGCAAGTAATTATAAAGAAAATTTACTGTCTGTCATACATAATCTCAAATTCTATCTACATCTGTGTGTGTGTATCCCCCACATTCTCCACATTTACACATGCACACATAGGTTATTGGCAGTTCTTTCAGATATTCCCAAGATATACTCTAGTACCCCTTTATGTCTGTCATTTAATCAGGTGGTTATTTACTACTTTAGCATGTTATCTAAGCCGGGCATTGTGGCGCAAGCCTTTAATCCCAGCCGTCAGGAGGCTGGCTGTTAGATCTCTGTGAGTTCAAGGCCAGCCTGGTCTATGAAAGTGAGTTCCAGGACAGCCAAAGATTACACAGAGAAACTCTTATCTTGAAAAACAAAACTAAGGCCGGGCGGTGGTGGCGCACGCCTTTAATCCCAGCACTCGGGAGGCATAGGCAGGCGGATCTCTGTGAGTTCGAGACCAGTCTGGTCTACAGAGCTAGTGCCAGGACAGGCTCCAAAGCCACAGAGAAACCCTGTCTCGAAAAACCAAAAAAAAAAAAAAAAAAACTAATATATAATAAAATTCCTCTGAATATTTGCTAGATGGATAGCAAAAACCAAATGGTGTAGCAGTCTATGATCACTGCAACTTGGAAAGCACATGTGCCGTTTGCTGGTAGTTGTTGCTGGCTCACAGTTTCTCTAAACTTTGACTTATTCTTTTTGTGGGTTTTTGCTGTTGTTGTTTTTGATTGTTTTTGTTTTGTTTTATTTTCTGAGACAAGGTTTCTCTGTGTAACAATCATAGCTGTACTGGTACTCATTTTGTAGACCAGACTGGCCTCAAACTCACAGAGATCTGCCAGCCTCTGCCTCCTGAGTGCTGGAATTAAAGACACGTGCCATCTCCACCCACCTCCACCTGGCTCTGAGCATGGCAACTCTTAAGGAAAACATTTAATTGAGGGAATTTACTTACAGTTTCAAAGGGTCGGTCCATTATTATCATGGCAGGGAGCATTGTGGCATGCAGGCAGACATGATGCTGCAGGAGTAGCTAAGAGTTCTACATCTTGCAGGCAACAGGAGGTCAACTCAGACACTGGGTGGTATCCTAACATAAGAAACCTCAAAGCCCACCTCCACAATGACAAACTTCCATCAATAAGCCATACCCACTCGAACAAAGCAACACCTCCTAATAACACCACTCCCCATGACATTATGAGGGCCAGTTACATTCAAATTACCACTGTGGTAGAACCAGGAGGATTAGGAGTTCAGAGTAATCCTTGGCTACATAGCAAATTCAAGGCAGCTTGATTTTATACATGCAGATAGGTAGGTAGGTAGGCAGACAGACAAAGAATTTATGAAACCCTCTCTCAAAAAGAACAAGAAGTCATTCAGTGGTTCCTTCTGGCTCCACCTCTGAACTGATGGGGGAAAGGCCTGTACCACTTGGTCTTATAGGGGCAGGGTGTCATTGTTTTTGCTTGAGACAAGGTCTCACTGTACAGTCCAGGCTGACCTGGAACTTAACAGATATCTGACTGCCTCTGTCTCATGAGTGCTGGATTTCAGGCGTGAGCCCCAGGCCTAACCCTAGTAAATTCTTGACTGTGAAGCACAGACCTTAGACTCTTCCAGGTGGCAAGCAGACTATGTGTTACTGTGTTTCTGAACAGCAGACTCAGTTCTGTGATTTCAGGGACTTGGCTTCTCATCTCTCTGAGGAGTGGGGAAAAGTCCAACCTTAAGACTGATGTCCCAGTAATGCCTAGCCTTTCTGCTTCCTATCTGCTAGCCTGGTACAGTTGTACCAGAATAAGGAGTCTTTCCTAAACTTTTTGTTTTTCAGAAGGAAGATTTTATTTGGTTGACATCTTCAGTAACACTTTGTAAATGCATTGCTGCTTCTCCTGAAATGGCCTTGAAATGGTCTTGAAAATTATTAGGGGGAACGAATGAGTAATCCTAACTGGTCTCAGACTCGCAGACATCCTCCTGCCTCTGCCTACCAAATCCTGGGATTATAGATGTGAGCCACTGCACAGCCCTCTCCACTGGTTAATGGCCAGTTAACCCTCTTGAGGACTTGGCTGGCCAGGTTGGAAACTACTGCCCCCAGGTCCAGTGATGCTTTTGCTCTTGTTCCCACAGGCATTGAATGTCAGGCCAACCAGGCGTCTGCTACTTCTGAAGAGTGTACTGTTGCGTGGGGAGTCTGTAATGTAAGGAACCATCTTTACCTATGCCTGTGACTTGTGCATGTGTGGCCGCTTCTCCTTTTTTTTTCAGTCTTGAAAATTATTAGGGAAAATAATTGAGTAGCCCACCTTTCTCCAAAAGGTATACAAATAGTAAAGACAAATTTTAAATCCTTACAGTATTAAATTTAACCAGATAAGCAGTAGTTATTACAAAGGAAAAATAGTTTGTCTTAATTATTATTAAGTGGGCCTTCTTTCCTATGCAGTGTTTTGAGTATTCATCTACTTTCAGGGATTTTCTTCAAAGCTGAAAACTGTCTTGGGAGAATATCTGTACCTTCTCAACAGAACTTTTTTTTTTCTTTTTCTAAAGATTGCTTATTTATGTATATGAGTACATGTTGGACTTCATCCCAGAAGAGGGCATCAGATTCCATTAGAAATGGTTGTGAACCACCCTGTGCGGGCTGGGAATTGAACTCAAAACTCAGAACCTCTGGAAGAGCAGCCTGTGCTCTTCACCACTGAGCCACCGCTCCAGGTCCTCAACAGACCTTCTAAGGGAAGTGTCTAGGGTGTGTGTGTGTGTTTGTTTGTGGCTCCTGCCGGAAATATTTAATGAGGCAGTGTTGACTGGATGTCCAGCTTTGCACGTGCCACAGCTGTGAAGGAGATGAGACAGCAAATATAGTATTTCTGGCACGTTAAAAATTCATCTATAGAACTGTAGTCTTGGTTACAGGAGTTAAAATTGCTCTGACCCTTCAGACCCTGACTACACAACTTCCATTGTGACGCGGAGTCATGGAGTATGGGCTCAGATCACCCTGTTTCTCTCTTACTAGCTAAGTGACTTTGTCAGATCCTCTAACATCTCTAACCCTGGGTTCCCTCAGGTAAAATATGGCTAATAGTAAAAGTGTAAACAGGATTAAATGATTTAACTTTTGGTTTTTTCAAGACAGGGTTTCTCTGTCTAACAGTCCTACCTGTCCTAGGACTCACTCTGTAGACCAGGATGTCCTCAAGCTCACAGAGATCCTTCTGCTTTTGCCTCTCGAGGGCTGGGATTAAAGGTATGCGCCACCACCACACAGCTTAAGTGATTTAAAACTTTTAAAAAGTGTTTAGAGGGCCAGTGAGATGGCTCAGTGGATACGGGGCCTTGCTGCCCAGCTTTGTGAGCTGAGCTTGAGTTCTAGAACACATGGTGGAAGGGCAGAACTGACTCCTATAAGTTGTGCTAACCTAAACACGTGTACGTGCCCAAAGCAAGTAAACTACTTAGAATGGCTCCCAGGACATAGTAAGAAGAAATATTTAAGAAAGCTACAGGGAGACTAGAAAGATGGCTCCGAGGTTAAGAGCACTGCCTGCTCTTCCAGAGATCCCAGGTTCAATTCCCAGCAACCACCTGGTGGCTCGCAAACATCTGTAATGAGATCTGGCCCTGTTTTGGCCTACAGGCAGACATACAGACAGAACACTGTATATATAATAAATAAATAAATACTTGAAAAAAGAGATTAAAAAAAAAGCTACAGGGAGGTGGTGACACATGCCTTAAATTCCAGCTTTCAGGAGGTAGAGTTCAAGGCCAGACTGATCTATAAATCAAGTTCCAGGACAACCAGGGCTATATAGAAAAACCATGTCTCTAGAAACCAAAAAGGGGGAAAAAGAAAGCTAACTGTGAGGGGTCAGCAGTTAAGGGCACATACTGCTCTTCCAAAGAATCCATAATTCAGTTCCCAGAACCCAAATCAGGCTGCTCAGGACCACCTGTGATTCCAGCTCAGGGAATTGGACACCTCTGGCCTCTTCAGACACCTGTACACGCCCACTCTGGGCACCTGCACACACCCTCTCTAGGCTCCATCACACACTGCGGGCATCTGCACACACTCACTGTAGGTACCTGCACACATCCACTGCGGGCACCTGCAAATGCCCACTGTAGGCACACTCTCACACAATTAAAAATAATGGCCTTTAAAAGAAAGTTAAATGGCCTGGCGGTGGTGGCGCACGCCTTTAATCCCAGCACTTGGGAGGCAGAGGCAGGCAGATCTCTGTGAGTTCGAGACCAGCCTGGTCTACAAGAGCTAGTTCCAGGCAGGCTCCAAAACCACAGTGCTGTGCCAGAAACCTCCAGATTAGGCTACAGTGCTAGTTCTGAGTCTTGTGAGAACCAGCTCTGTAAATTAGACAAGTCATTTGTCTGGGGTTCAGTTTCCTGTCTGTAAAGAACAGATAGTAATATCTGTCACGCCTGCTTGCCAGGGTTGCAGTAGGCTCGAATGAGGTAATAATGTCAACTTCTTCCATAAACCTGGGCTGTAAATGTGCCCTTGGTAAATTGTACTGTCTGCTGAATATACTCTTTACTGCATTTTAAATTAAGACAAAGAAAGATGGGGTTCATTTGCATTGAAACCTAATTCACACACACTTTGCCCTTGAACACTTGCTATTCTGTGGGGTTAAGCCCCATTCTGTAGGATACTTAGCAGGGAGGTGGTAGCTAAAGACAGGTCTCTTGCCTGTCTTTGAGTGAACTGTCCCCAGTACCTAGATGTTGCCGGAAGTGTCTCCGGCTCTGCCTCTTGGAAATTCTGAGGGGGCTTTTTGTTTTGTTGCTTTGTTTTTTTTAGACATGGACTCCTACAGCTCAGGTTGGTCTTGAACCAGGTGTTTAGCTGAGTGTGACCTCACCACCTTACAAGTGCTGGGGTTATAAGCATGCAGAAATTCTGGTTGTTTTGGATGTTCAGATTTTTGTTTGTTTTTTCATGATGAATCATGTCAAGAGTCTGAAGGGGCAGAATCTAGTAAGAGTTGTGGCTGTGAAAGAACAGTTGTCTCTCTCGCATTTGAAGCCTGTGGTCGGGACCCTTTCTCAGGAATGCAGAAGTATCTATCCTGTTAGGGGCTGGAGAGGTGGCTCAGCTCAGCGGTTAAGAGCATTGCCTGCTCTTCCAAAGGTCCTGAGTTCAATTCCCAGCAACCACATAGTGGCTCACAACCATCTGTAATGAGACCTGGTGCCCTCTTCTGGCCTGCAGGCACACATGCAGACAGAATACTGAGAATACTGTATACATAATAAATAAATCCTTTAAAAAAAAAAAAAAGAAGTATCCTGTTAACAGCTTTGGCACCCAGGAGCCGCATTCCCGCAGAGTTCTCACTGTTACAACATACTCCTATGCTCCCTGATCATTCATTTCTTTAGTGATAGGGGCATGCCGTGTGTTGCAAATGTCCTTATCAATAAGAAGAGTTCAAGATGTTCTGTGGGATGTTGCCCTCTCCTCCACGGCTGCCCTGTCCCCTGTTATCCCCACACACAGCCAATGACTGTTGACTGTGGTCTCTGAAGTGACGTGTAACGCCTGTCTTCTCTTTCAGCATGCTTTTCATTTCCACTGCATCTCTCGATGGCTCAAAACGAGGCAGGTGTGTCCATTGGACAACAGAGAGTGGGAATTCCAAAAGTAGGTGTTCCTCCTTGTTTGGGGTTCTAAGTGTGGGTCTTCTAGTTGAGGTCATTCTCCTGCTGGCCTCAAGCTGAAGGCAGCTGGAGTGGTGGAGCACACACACACCCTTGTTTGTTTAATTTATTTGAGATAAGGTCTCTCTAAGTAGCTCTGGCTGTTCTTGAACTGGCTCTGTGGACCAGGCTGGCCTCAAACTCAGAGGCTCATTTGTCTCTACCTCCCTAGCAATAGGATTAAAGGTGTGTGCTGCCATGCCTTATTTTTAGGGAAGCTTTGAGAAGATAAACAGGGATTAGCCAGCATTTTGCAGAGTTTTTTCAGACTGCTAGGTCTGTCAAGGTGAAAAAAATGGGAGTCAGAGTTAAGCAGGGCGGTGGACTCTTCTTGAGACAGCATCTCATTCTGTAATTCAGGCTGGCCTCAAATTCATTAGGACCCTCCCACCTTAGCCCTCCAAGCAAGGTGCCTCAAGTGCCAAGTCCCTTTGGCTTCACTCAGCTGATTGATTCTGATACCAAACCTACAGCTGCTTGATCACATTTTTATTATTAAACAAAGCTAAACCAGGCGTGGTAGTGAATGCCATTGACCCCAGAACTTGAGTTCAAGGCCAACTTAGCCGATGGAGTGAGTTCCTAGACTTCCAGGGCTACACAGAAGAGAAACCCTGTCAGGAAAAACAAACAAACAAAAAAAGTGTTTAGTGGGCTTTAGGGTCTTATACTGTTTTTGTTTGTTTGTTTGTTTGTTTTTTCTTTTGGTTTTTCGAGACAGGGTTTCTCTGTGGCTTTGGAACCTGTCCTGGAACTAGCTCTGTAGACCAGGCTGGTCTCGAACTCACAGAGATCTGCCTGCCTCTGCCTCCCGAGTGCTGGGATTAAAGGCATGAGCCACTATTGCCCAGCTAGGGTCTTATTCTCCAGCATCCTCATGAGGTCGTTTGTTTTGTCTTTCAGGTATGGGCACTAGAAAAGACGCTCCCTAAAACTTACCCATGTGTTACTCGTGTAGCGACTCACCTTCCTGTTAATTATAAATTAGATAGAACTATGGTTTTTTCTTTCTTTTGTCTTCGGTGTTTGCTGTTCCCACAGCCATATTGTATTTTGTGTCGAATAAAGTCGTTAAGTTCAAGAATGGTTGCTGTCTTATGTGTGTGGAAAGTGTGACCTTGAGAAGGGGCCTCTTCAGTGCCACATACAACCTCAGAAAGTGCACTGTTCATTATCAGAACAGAGGTGTCCTGCAGGTGCATCATCACAAGGTCACGAGGAACCTGTTAAAGTCTGGAACTGTGGGTCACTTGTCTTTCTTCTGAGATAGCACCAGGCCGCTGAATGAAGAAGGACATGGCCCAGCCAGGTCTGCTCAGGCCCTCTCCTGAGGGGCCTAGGATTGAGGAATGTGCTTGGTGAGCTCTGAAACACTGCAGGTCAGTGCTGATATGTATGGCATGTTGCATTCTCTAGTTTAGGGAAAAACTTTTTTAAAAAATTGTACTATATGATCTTGGCTGTTGGTAGAGCGGTTTTAAACTCTTTAAACATTGTCTGGACAGATTGTAATTCCATGAGTTTATGCCTGTTGTAATCCCAGGCACTTGTAAACCCTGGTACTGGGATTCAGAAGAAAAGGAGCCCTGGAGTCCAAGAGCAGTTTGTATGCTGGCACATGTAGTAGGCATGTTTGCCCAGGCCCTGGGTTCAGTTACTGACAGACCTAAATAAGTAAAAGAATGTTCAGCCGAGCAGTGGTGGCACAAGTTTAAGGCCAGCCTGGTCTACAGAGTGAGTTCCAGACAGGCTCCAGAGCTACACAGAGAAAACCTGTCTCAGAAAGAAAAAAAGATGTTCAAACTGAATTAACAAGAGCTCAAGTTTCCTTCAAACATGCTGGCCTTGAAAGGAGTTGCCATCCTGATGCTAAGTCAATGGCTGAAGCCTACTGAGAAACTGTTTTGGTGCCGTGGTTTTTAGCAGCTAATGGTTCTTGAAATCCTCCTGGGAGGTTTGCCTTCAGTGCAACGCCAAGTGAAAGCATTCTTCTTTGACTTTAGTAAAGCCATGCATGGTCAGATGAAGCAGATTTGAGGCTCTACCTGGCTCCTGTTGTCAGAAAAGACTGCAAAAATGTGGAACAATACTGTCATTTTGTTTGTTTGTTTTCAAAGTTAATTTTAATAAAAATGTTTATGTTAATATGTGATGTATCTGGTTTGGTTTATTCGTTTTGGTTTTTCAAGACAGGGTTTCTCTGTAGTAGCCATGGCTATCCTGGAACTCACTCATCTTTGTAGACCAGGCTAGCCTCTAACTCACAGAGATCCACCTGCCTCTGCCTCCCAAGTGCGGAATTAAAGGTTGCGCCAACACTGCCCAGTTTACATTTTTGCTTTTTAGCAGATACCTTTTTCTTTTTATGGGTAGCAATGTAGATGCTCATGAGTGTGTCTGTGGAAGTTGCCGTTGGGTGTCCTATATCGATAGCTCTCCACGTTTCTCATACATGGTTTCTCGCTGAAAGGGAGCTTGCCAATTGGTTAGACTGCCTGGGATCCTGCTGCTGCCGCCACCTGCCTACATGGGTGCTGGAGATTAGCCTCGGGTCTGTCAGGCAGGCAGGTGCTCTGCTGTCAGTTTTCTCTCTTAAGACACCTGCTATGTTAGATAGAAGTCTGTCCTCAGAGCCGCGGCCACCATTTCCCTCAGAGGAGCAAGTGGGGCAGTGCCAGTGAGAGTCCAGCCACGCCTTCCAGAATTGTGATCTGCAGCTCTGCTCTAGTTCCTTGAAGCAGGAAGCGGGCATCCTTGCTGGATGGAGAACTTCCAGTCTGACTGCTCTGGGGTCACCCACACTTCTGCCAGTAGCCCTGTATTGTGTGAGTAAGCCCAATAAACCCACCGCCTTCCCAGGGTGAACTTGGGTGGAATTGGACTTTGATATGTCGTTAGGACCTTGTGAATGATGGAGAAATGCTTGTCTTCCCGGAAGGAATTCTCCCAACAGAGCACCCAGCACAATATTGGAGTTCTCAACTTTTAGAATCCTGTTCTTGATTGGTTGGATTTTTTGTTGTTACTTTGTTATTTTTAGGCAGAGTCTTCACTAGATAGCCCTGGCTGACCTGGAACTTACTGTATAGACCAAGCTGATCTCAAACTTACACAGATATTTTTGTTTTTAGGATCATAAAAAGGATGATGGGCACAAGAAATTGTGTAAACCCCTAGTAATGAAGAGCTTTAAAGCATAACCTAGATTAAACCCCACTTTTCCACTTAGCTGCTGCTGAGTGTCAGGAACATAGCAAGGGCTCACCTGAGGCAGCTATAATCCTATAATAATCATGCAAAGTACATTTTCGGACCGCCACTTCACCCCTTCACCTCCTCAACCTCTCTGCAGCTACATAAATAATGTCTAGGGTGAACTTGCTTGCTCTTCACCCGGGTGACACATTTGGGGCATACCTCTGTCTAAAAACACCTGGGCTGGAGAGATGACCACACAAACTGAAATTTAAGCCCAGCATTTGGGATTTGGAAACAGAAGGATTAGGAGGTCAAGGTCATTTTTGAGATCCTGTCTCAAAAACAAATTTCAACACCAGATAGTCAGTTGGTCTGGGTAGGCCATAAACATCTGAGTTTCTCGTTTCAGAGAACTGTTTATTCTGCCAGCCCTGTCGACCTAGAGCTAAAGTTGCTGCCCCCAGATAGGACATAGTCCAGGAGGGGATCCATGAGTAGCTGCAGATACACAGGGTGGGGTCTCAACTTGGCCTCGAGGTACCCAGGCTTCCCTGCCTCCTGACAGTGGCTCCTGCAGCCTCTTGCTCCAGCTGCACACGTTCATGTTCATTTCCCTACCTTGCCGCGGGAGACCCCGGCTTTGCCCACAGCCCTAGCAGTGTCCTGGAGCACATGGGCCTCTGCTCAAATCTCAATAAGTGTAACCTGGGCTCCCCTGGAGTTTACTATATAGTTCAGGCTGATTTCAGACTCACAACAGTTGTTTCCACTTCAAATGCTGGGAGTATAGGTACAATCCAACAGGGTTGGCTCCTGGCCCTTTGGTTAACTCTAAACCACACATGGGCTGGACAACCACTCTGGCACTGAGTTTATATCCCCATTAATCCTACCCCCACCCATTATTTTTTGCTGAGACAGGGTCTCAAGTTACTCTTGAGCTTGCCAAGGTAGGCCTTGAACTTGTGATCCTCTTGCTTCAGCCTCCAGGAGTGCTGAGATTGTGTAGCCCATTCCATTATGCCCAGCTGCCCCAGGCATTCTGGAGGCAGAGGCAGGTGAATCTCTGTTAAGTCAAGGCCAGCTTGGTCTACTTGATGACTTTGTCTCAAAAAAACAAATGAGTGAAAACAGGGACTGGATTGCTGATTAAAAGTGTAAATACGGGGGCTGGAGAGATGGCTCAGAAGTTAAGAGCACTGGCTGCTCTTCCAGAGGTCCTGGGTTCAATTCCCAGCAACCGTATGGTGGCTCACAACCATCTGTAACTTGATCTGGCTCCCTCTACTGAACACTGTGTAATAAGAAATAAATATTATAAGTAAATAAATAAATAAAAAGTACAAATACGTCCAGAAGACCCAGGTTTGGTTCCCAGCACCCACATGATGGCTCACAACAATCTCTATCTCCTGTTCCAGGGGATATGAAGCCCTCTTTCGGCTTCCAGGGATACATGCATTGCACATCAATACTGCAAGCCAAACCCCGTACACATACAAAATAAAACTGAAAAAAAAAAGAGAGAGAAGAAAGAAAGGAATATCAGGTCTTCTGCAGGATGGCTGAAGTTAATTTAAGGACACCTGCCAGCACCGAGCCTGACAACCTGAGCTGGATGTACACGGTGATCTGCTAGCTGTCCTTTGACCCCCATATGTGTGCCATGGCATGGGCACATTGCCCACCTCACTAAAAATGTAATTTAAAACAGAAAACTAAAAACAAAAAACTTAAATTTTAAAAAGAAAAATAGCTGTCAGTGAGGTACTGAGGTCAAGTAACCTACCTAGGGTGGTACACTCCATGGCAGGCCTGACCTTTAGACCTGGGTTTATCTACCTCCAGGATTGCCCGTTTTCACCAGCTCTGACAGCTAGACAGCCTCACGCGATGACTGAGGTAAAGCCCTCTGTAAATAGTTACCGCCTATACAAATGTCAGGTCTCCCTATTAATCAAGAGCTTGGTTATTCCTCCCACCTCCAGGTTAATGAAGTGCCTTGTTCTTGTTGACTTGGACTCTCAACTCTGACCTTCCGTATATTAAGAACTGGGTTCTAAAGACAAAGCAGAGCAATGAACAAACTAAAAACAGTGGCAGGTGGCAGCGTCCTCCTCCCTTCTGGGGGAGAAAGGGATGAAGGGATGTCTGCCTACAGTCTACCTAAAACCTACTCTGGATTATAGATGTTGTCACTAGAGGGTGTAAGGGTGAAGTGAGGTGTAGTCGGACAAGGAGGACAGGCTTGGTGTCTGCTGTGGGACTGTACATGAAGCTTCAGAGCCAGGCAGACACTGACTTCAAATTCTGCCTCCTGTTTTCAGCCAATAACCGCAGCATCTGGGAGGTGCAGACAAGGGGATTGCAGCTGAAGGTCACCCTCAGCTACATCACAGTTTGAGACAACTTGGGGAAGGACAACTGGAGAGCTGGCTGTGCCATTAAAGCAGTGGCTGCTCACGCCAGAACCTGTGTTTGATTCCCAGCACTTGGGAGATGGAGGCTGGAGGATCAGGGATCAGGAGTGCAGCATGCTCACTAGTGAGTGACCTTCATCAGTGGCTTGTCCCACGTGTCTCTTGCTCCTCATTTCCAGAAGTTGTTTTACTTGTTCCCCATCTCACTTCAGAGTTTGTATTTCTTTTTTTTTTCTTCCTTTTTTTTTTTTGTTTGTTTGTTTTGTTTTTTGAGACAGGGTTTCTCCGTAGCTTTGGTGTGGTGCCTGTCCTGAACTAGATCTGCCTGCCTGTGTCTACCTAGTGCTGGGATTAAAGGTGTGCGCCCCCATCGCCTGGCTCACCTTTCTTGTTCTTGTTGGTCGTTTACCATAGTGCAGCAGGGTAGCTTGCCCACCATTCGCGTCTCATCTTGTCAACCAAGAAGCCAGTAACTAGTCAGTTACCCAGGGAGGTCTGGGGAGGTGTTAGGAACTTTACTCAATCCTTATTCAAAATGGAAGTTCTATCCAAAATGGCTTCAGTTTGGTTCCTTCATATACTTCCAGCTCAAAGTCAAGTACTGACTCTTCTACTGCCAACAGGGTTCAGCCAAATAAATGGTAATATGCATCCAACTTCCTTGCTCCCAAAATCCACAACTGAAAGGTGTCAGGGCCCATTCAGTACCTATGGCTCTTCCCAGCAGGTCTAATCTGGCCCCTCCCCCTAGCCCATGGACTGGGCTCTTCCCTTCCCCCCCAGGGCTGGTTCCTCTATAGTCCAGTCATTTGGCTACTCACTCCCTTGGTTCCCCTGCACTTTTTTGACAATTGTTTGAGGCTCCTCTCTGGATCCTCTTGCCTTCTCTTCTTGTCCTCTATCCTCTACTGGCCTTGTTCAGTCTGAACCCTTCCAGATGTCTCTGGCCATACTCCCCCTCATCTGTACAATCAAACCCTTCTCGTCAGCCATACCAGGGTTGGCGCATGTCCTCATTTTCATTCAAAAGGGATATAGGTGTCTAAGCCTACTTCATTCTTCTTGGAGAGGCAAGAAAGACTGTTTTGTTTTGATTGAGACGGTCTCATGTAGCTTAGGCTAGCTTTAAAGTTATTTTGTAAGTAAGTGAAGGGATTGGGAAGAGGGGAGGGAGAGGGAACTTGGATTGGCATGTATAATGAATAAAGATTGTTTTCTTTTTAAAAATAAAATAAATTTAAAGAAAAAAGTTACTTTGTAGCCAAAGATGGCTTTGAACTCTTGATCTTCCCTCTTTTTTTTTTTTTTTTTCTAAGACAGGGTTTCTCTGCAGCTTTGGAGCCTGTCCTGGAACTAGCTCTTGTAGACCAGGCTGGCCTCGAACTCACAGAGATCCGCCTGCCTCTGCCTCCCGAGTGCTGGGATTAAAGGCGTGCGCCACCTTCGCCCGGCTCAGAGCTTTTCTCTTAAAGGCAGGACACGGGGGAGAGAAAGAGAAAAGAGGAAGGGGAAAAACAGGAAGGTAAGGA